TAAGAAATGGTAATTTTGGATATGCACTTAAAAAAGATAGCATGTTCATAATGAACAACAAAGAAATAGCAAATATTCTAATCGGGGAATTATAAAAGGCATTCACAAATGATTCTTCTGCAAACCAGTGAAGACAAAGTTCCTCACAAACGACTAGCTAAAAAATAAAAATTCTACGGCAGATACATTAATACCCTAGAATGGACTGGTGACCTATAACATATCCATACATAAACAACCATGCTTAAGAGAGAACAACGTGAGACAATAACGGTAACTTCTGGAGTGCCACAAAGCACTTCCTTCGGTCCTATTCTATTTCTAATATACATAAACGATTTCCCAAAATATTTATTATATAACACTTTAATATAAAAATAAGAAGATGTGGTATGATTGCCAATGAGACAACTCTCCACAAGAGACCAAATGACACAGAAATTAACAACCATTGGTCACCGTACGGCCTTCAACAATGAGCAAAGTCCATACCACACAGTCAGCTATAAAAGGCCTCGAAATGACAAATGTAAAACTATTCAAACGAGAAAACTAACGGCCTGATTTATGTTCAAAATGATGAACGAAAAACAAATATGATATACAGCAACAAATGACAACCACTGATTTACAGGCTACTGACTTGGGACAGGCACATACATGTACAGAATGTGGCGGGTTTAAACATGTTAGCGGGCGCCCAACGTTCCCCCCATTCGGGGACAGTGGTGCAACAGAACAACACAACGAACTGTACAAAACAATAATCACAAATGATCAACAGCAACAAACAACAACCACCGAATTACAGGCTCCTGACTTGGGACAGGCACATATAGAATGTGGCGGGGTTAAACATGTTAGCGGGCGCTCAACCCTCCCCATAACCTGGGACAGTAGTGTGACAGTACAACATATGAACAAACTATAAAAATCAGTTAAAAAGGGCTTAACTCATTCAATAGATACAAAGCAAAAACAAGTAACAAAAACACAGAGTGGACGTGGCAGGGTACTTATACATCATCACAACAAAAAGACACTAAGTACAGATCTGATCTAGTACTCGCAGTTACTGACAGCTAGTTCAAATACAATAACAACTAATAAAAAAATCATGCATCTAAGACTAAAAAGGCTAGTTGTTGATGACAGCATCATCGATAGAAACACATTCAACATTAACAAAATTATGCTGAAGTTTGTATATTCATTTTATTTGTATTGAATTTTTGTTTGTTAATTTATTGTATGCCATTAACCTTTCAGGAAACACGTGTGCTTTTAAAATAACTATGATAACGTCCTTCGTGGGCATATACTTCAAACAGAAACAGCCACAAAACATTTAGGCGTACAAATACAACATCATGTAAATAAAATATCATCAGATTCAAATCGACATCTTAATTTCCTAAAATTAAATATCAAACAAAGAAAAGAAAATGTTGTTTATCGTTGATTGTTTCATCATAAATCCGGTTGTTGGTTTTCTCTTGTGAACTGTTTTACATTTTCATATCTTGGCCTTTCATTTTTTACATTACGGTATGGGTTTTGCTCATTGTTTAAGGTCGTATGCTAACATTCACGTTATTTCGTCTCTGGTGGATAGTTGTCTCATTGGCAATAATATAAACTGGTCTGAATAATACAAAATTCCTTTTTAATTCTGCTCAGTATCACTTCAGTCTATTCAACTTTCTTTAAACAGTTATACTCATTATGAATGTTCCATGATGATGCCCCAATAGACTTAAAAAAATCGTTTTCCTCAAATGCCAAGAATAATAAAATTTGATATATTCCCAAGTTTATACTGCTATGACGATGCACAAATAGACTTAAAAATATCGTTTTTCTCAAATGCCAGGAATAATAGAATTTAATATATTCCCAAGTTTATACTGCTATGACGATGCCCCAATAGACTTAAAAAAATCGTTTTCCTAAAATGCCAAGAATAATAAAATTTGATATATTCCCAAGTTTATACTTCTATGACGATGCACCAATAGACTTAAAAAAATCGTTTTCCTCAAATGCCAAGAATAATAAAATTTGATATATTCCCAAGTTTATACTGCTATGACGATGCACAAATAGACTTAAAAAAATCGTTTTTCTCAAATGCCAGGAATAATAGAATTTGATATATTCCCAAGTTTATACTGCTATGACGATGCCCCAATAGACTTAAAAAAATCGTTTTCCTCAAATGCCAAGAATAATAAAATTTGATATATTCCCAAGTTTATACTGCTATGACGATGCCCCAATAGACTTAAAAAAATCGTTTTCCTCAAATGCCAAGAATAATAAAATTTGATATAGTCCCAAGTTTATACTGCTATGACGATGCCCCAATAGACTTAAAAAAATCGTTTTCCTCAAATGCCAAGAATAATAAAATTTGATATATTCCCAAGTTTATACTGCTATGACGATGCACAAATAGACTTAAAAAAATCGTTATTCTCAAATGCCAGTAATAATAGAATTTAATATATTCCCAAGTTTATACTGCTATGACGATGCCCCAATAGACTTAAAAAAATCGTTTTCCTAAAATGCCAAGAATAATAAAATTTGATATATTCCCAAGTTTATACTTCTATGACGATGCACAAATAGACTTAAAAAAATCGTTTTCCTCAAATGCCAAGAATAATAAAATTTGATATATTCCCAAGTTTATACTGCTATGACGATGCACAAATAGACTTAAAAAAATCGTTTTTCTCAAATGCCAGGAATAATAGAATTTGATATATTCCCAAGTTTATACTGCTATGACGATGCCCCAATAGACTTAAAAAAATCGTTTTCCTCAAATGCCAAGAATAATAAAATTTGATATATTCCCAAGTTTATACTGCTATGACGATGCACAAATAGACTTAAAAAATCGTTTTTCTCAAATGCCAGGAATAATAGAATTTGATATATTCCCAAGTTTATACTGCTATGACGATGCCCCAATAGACTTAAAAAAATCGTTTTCCTCAAATGCCAAGAATAATGAAATTTGACATATTCCCAAGTTTATACTGCTATGACGATGCACAAATAGACTTAAAAAAATCGTTTTCCTCAAATGCCAAGAATAATAAAATTTGATATATTCCCAAGTTTATACTTACAGAATTCTGACAACTACGTCTGTTTAACAGCAAAAAATAAACTGTACGTTTAGAGATGATATGATCGAATAAAAATAAAAAATGCAATTTGAAAATAACGCAAAACTTTGAGAAATAACGCAAAGTTTGTGAAATAGGCAGAGTTTAAGAAATTACAATAAATATGCAAATAACTCAAAAGATTTAAGTAAAAATCACGTGTCGCTGATACGCTTCTTGAGCATGTACTGAAATACTAAAACAATGTAGGAAGTTTTCAGCATTTGTATTCAATTTGAACTATAGTGCGACAAATCACTGATGTTCAGTTTTTGAATGCTGATAAAGTATTATCTGGTTTATGGTAAGATAAGGAGTGTTTCCATCTTCCAAATGTTTGTTAATACTTTGTTTAAATCTTATTTATTTTTTTTCAAACCACCATCTACATCAACTGTCAACCTGTCGACATGTCAACTGTCTACGTGTTACCACTTAAGCATTTGTCTGGTATTTTTGATTTTGTCGACTTAATTTACGTCAATGGACAACCTGTCGACCTGTCCGGCTTTTATAATAAATTCATACGCTTGTGTATATTTGGAAGATATTCAAAATATATAAGGTCGACAGCTTACCAAGAATAAAAATGATTAATTTCAATTTCATACAAACACCATAATGTCAAATTTGTGACAAATAAAAGTAAACAGTCGACAGGTCGACAGTTGAAAAAAAGGTCGACAAGTTATTAAAAAGTTCTTAAAGATGATTTATTGCACATATATTTATGTCGACCTTTCAACCTGTCGACTTGTCGATCCGTCGACCATTCAATTTGTCGACTTATTTACGTAAAAAAACATATCAACCTGACTGAACTACAATCCCGTATATCCTTCTTGACGCAACCAAGCATTTTTCTAAATGATCATACTTAGTTGGGAAAAAAAGTTTAAGTTTGCGTAATTTTTAAGTTTTAATATAACGTTTAAGGCAAAGTATAATTTGATATTCTCCATTCCACATGCTAAACAATTACTGATAAAGTGATTTTACCTTCTGATCATTCTTTTGGAGGCACAGATTTAATCTTCTCACGCGTAAGACCATTTTCGATATGCAATGACAATCGCTATTACCCCAGACAAAAGTCAACATCATTACGTCATAATTAATGTTGTCCTCTAAGCTGTTAAGAACATAATTTAAAAGATATGCCAAAAACTCTTTTGTTTTAATTATGTTGTTTCAGATAATAGTGTTATTTGATTTTTTATTGAAATAAGGAAAAAACTTCTTCATATCAAGTAAATTCTGTTGTCATGGGCCTGACATTTTTCATAAATTCAGTTTTTATAAAATTTACAGTCTGAAGATATTTTTTATGAAATAAAGCTACTTTCGATGCCATACGAAAGCTTTCTGTGCACTAATTCAACACACATATATTGTTTATAAATAACTTCAAAGAAATCAGTTAAAAAATCATATTATTTCTTGAAAACAAAAGGTCTCAACGACGTATAGGTTGCTACATGAAGAGCAGGAGCAGCATACCCTTCCGGAGGACCTGAGTTCACCCCCGGTTTTGGTTGGGTTCGTGTTTCTAAATCTTTGCTCCTCTGTGTAACGTTTTATTATTGTTGTTTGTCAGTTTGTCATTTTTATTTTCAATTGTGTTGTCTGTTTTTATTTGATGTATCATATCCGATTAGTGTCTTTTTTCTTTTCTTCTTCACCATATTACTTCCACAAAAACCTGCGGAGATGGTTTGACATATGCGCTGTCCATTATTTTAGACCGTATGGAGATCTGTAATTATTTATTTGGCTAACTAGTGTGACTGGGTTGCCATCTATTCAACTTTCTCAATTCAAAATATAAATAATTTAATATCATAGCTTATTTTTCACAAATAAGGCAGTAATAATTCCCACATGCGTTATCGTTCCAGAGACCATTTTCATAGATCGATGTAGTTAGACAATCCTCATTTCCCGTAAATTCGTTAGGTTCGCCGGGGTTCCAAAATGTTTCGTTTATTTTATCTTTTGATGGTTGCCAACGCCAATCACCTTCAGTGACGTCATCTTTTCCGCCCAGCCAGTATATCCCTGATAAAGATAATAAATATAATTATACCAATGATAAATGGTCTTGTTTAGCCCCGAAACCTTACATTTTTATTCATAACAAAAATTTATCAGTATTTTTTTATATGAATTTAAAATATCTAAGAGTTTCTTTTCCAAATTTTAGATTGGTGCGGGTATTTCTTTTTAAAAGAATACATCTAGTATTTGATAATTTAACAAAATTACTCAAACAAATCATCTTTTCAAAATTTATGATAAGATTGGTTGGACATTTTGATTAAATATTTTGACAAAGAAAATGAAACTTTCAATATTTAGTTATTTCTGAAGTTATATAATTCAATTCACAAAATGTTATTTTTAACCCACTATAATGATTTTTTTTTTCATTTAATCATGGAAGTCAATGGCAGAACTAAAATAGCAAAAATGGAAAAGAACATTCTACCTCCACTTCTACCAAAAAATACATTGTGAAAAAGATTTTCTACGATGTGATTTTAATCCCTTTTACGATATTGTGTAATTGTACGTACAATGTGTAAATACAGCAATTCCAAAAAGTTGTAATAATGAACGTTTAGAGTTCTTTATTACAAAAAAAGATGGCAAAAAAAAAAAATAAATAAATAAAAAAAAAAAAAAAAAAAAAAAAAATTAAATAAAATAAAATAAAATTAAATAAAATTAAAAAATCGATATAAAAATCAAACAACAGTCTACAAAACACAACTCCAACACTATGAAGGTAAAATTGGGTCAAAAAGTGCAGAAACATTGACATACGTTCCGAACGGATTTAACAAATTTAACATGTATATGTAAACATGCTAAGACTATCATTTCTCAGCAGATTCCAAATTATTTAAAAAGTTTAAACAATAATCACGTAAAATCAGTATCCATGGGAACATTTGGTGGTTGCTCTGGAACTCACTCTCTCATTAAGTTTTTAAAAATCTATGAACAACAATGTCAGACATAAATAATTACAACACTGATATACAGCCTTCAAAAAAGAAAAAAAAAATAAGTTTAAATTTACATAAAAATGTTGATGTAATCTCAGATTAATTGCTGGACTGGACATTAATTTAAACCAGAAATATATACTTCGAATAAACAAAATATGGTTTAGTCTTCTTTCTGGAATCTATCATTTCCACTAAAACCCCTTTGACAGCAACAATTTTTACTATTCTTTATTTTCAAGTTAAAAAATTCACCTGGAACAAAATACAAAACTGTGTATTTATACCTGAGAAACACAAACCCCAACGAAACAGGGGTTGACTTCAGGTACTCCGGAAGGGTATCAGATCCTGCTCTTAAGTGTGACCCATTGTATTGCACATTTCAAATAAAACTACGGTGAAGTCAAAATTGAAAAAAAAAAAAAACAATACAGGGTTTTATCGGTCGTCCCACTGTCTGTATCACTCTGCTCAGCTCTTAATAAAATTGGATATCACGGCTTTGTGACGTCAAATACGTTGACCCGGCCTTAATAACTTTAGCCCGGACTTATCAGCGACGTCATAATGTTTGAACCGACGTTGATAAGTTTGACCTGAACTTATCAAGTCTTCTTCCGGTTTTCTGGTGAAATAAAGAAAACACTTGTTTCTATTATGCAAACTACGCAAATACAACCCGATAAATCGATTATCTTGTTGTCTGCATATTTATATTGTAAAATATCAGCTGCTCGACACAATATGAAGCCTTTTTGAACTCGTTCACTGCGCTCACTCGACAAAAAGCTTCATATTGTGACTCGCACCTGTTATTTTACAATATCAATATGCAGACAATACAATACAATATGCTTTATTTAAAAACACTCCGTCACATTGACATGTGAAACAAGAGGTAAATACATACAAAATACAATCACATACAATCATAGAAATAAATAAAACAACTTAGAAATGAAATATATTAATAATTACTTTACTTTATAATATTTTCGTTAACTTTGAAACGAATAAAGATACATTCTTAAGTACATTAATATTAACCAATGATAGTAGTCCTTTCATTTTTGCTGCACTGGGATATTTAACATAGTATTCTGGAATGTGCTGATTTCTGATATTTTTTACTAATATAGAATTGCATTCAAATAAATAATGGTATTCATTACCAATTTCATTTAAACACAAATTACATGTCCTCTCGTCTTTTGGAATATTGTACCATCTACCCAGCTCTACTGGAATTTTTACATTACAGCATCTTAATTTTGAAATATATTCACGTTCGATTGGTGATAATTATACAAGATAGTTTTCTAAGCCAAACATTGTTTTAAAAAGACCATAAAATTCTCCTCTGGATGAGTTGTCAATTTGACTATGCCAATTTTGAATGAATGCATCTTTAAGATTTTCTTTCAGAACGATTTTCAGTTGATTTACATCTAATGGAATTGCTGAGTCCAAACATAGCTAAGTCCGGAATTGTCTAAAATCGATTTAATATAGTCAATCCATTTGAACATGTGATCATCATCTATTAACTTGAACATAATTTGATAAAGTATACTGCTTAGTTTATTTTCATTGGCGAGAAGTTTGTTCGAAAAACACACCATTCTACATTTTATTACGGTATCTATTGGTGTACGACCAAGTTCTCCATATGTCATAAAATTTGGTGTCGAGGATTTAATTTAAAAAGTGTAGTTGGATTTTTTCCAGCATGTAATTGTTTCCGAATCCCAATATTTCACACCCATATGTCAGAATTGGAAGTAAAAGTGCATCAAACAGTTGTAATTGTAAGTCGACAGGTATTGAGAGGTTACGTATCTTTGTATAAAGACTAAAAAGTGCTTTCTGTGCTTGTTCGCTAAGACGTTTCTTCGCTGTTTCAAATGAACCATTGTAGTTAAAAGTTAGTCCTAAATATGGATAAAAATCTTGAATTCCAATAGACTGGTTAAATATTGGAAACTTTGTTAATGTTCGTGATTTCCGTTTGCAGAACACAACAACCTTTGTCTTCGATAAATTAACGTTTAACTTCCATCGGACACAGTATCTTTCAAAAACATTTAAGGCTTGTTGCATTGATTCGGCCGTTTCAGATATAATTATAGTGTCGTCGGCGTACAAAAGAACGAAAAGTTTTATGTAGATATGCAAATAATTGCGGCAAATATTTTCCATAACTGAACATCATTTTCAGCAAAGAAAGACTCAAGATCGTTTAGATAAACAGCAAATAAAAAGGGGGATACATTTTCTCCCTGTCTCACTCCAATGTTACAGTTAAAAACGGCTGACACTTCGTTACCATTCCTAACGCACGATTTAACATCACTATACATGCTATATATTACCTTAAAAATATTCCCGGAAATATTCGCCTTTTGTAATTTTATCCATAAAGATGTATAACAGATTGTGTCAAAGGCTCTCGAAAAATCAACAAAAGTGCAAAAGACAACCTGATAATCGGTACGTGGCTACGTCAATTCGGACATACCAGTGGTCACCTGTGACATAGATATTCCATAACGGTCAAATAAATCAGGATAATATAGAAGTAGTAAGTAAGTAAGTAATTTTTTATTTAGAGTCGGGCATGATATGTACAAATTAACATAGTAAACATGAGCTCTGTAGAGCTCTTAACCGACTTGATATTTAAAAAAAAAAACAAATACACAAATTATAAGCACATTTGACAGAATACACAGCACACATGTACAAATATATCGAAACGAATTATATTCGTAATTACCAATTCAAAACTTCAATATTTGTAATGGCAGATTAAATCAATTGGTTATAAATAGTTCTAGTTTATTCATATATTTACTGAATGAGTTTCCTTACGTATCAATTGTAAATTATTTCAATCACCTAAATGATTTTGGTTGTTGAACATAAAAAAAGTTTTTTTTATAATTTACACAACATTTAATAAGATTGTCATGACAGAAGATCAAAGTGATACAGGCAGAGGGAAGGAAGAAAAATATCAATCTTATCAAAGGTTGTGTAATGTTGGAGCTAAGCCTTATTGCCATACTTGGTGTTAATGCTAAGACCTTTACTCAGTTAAGCGCTTCTGTGAGCCTTGAGCGCCTCTAAAATCCCCTACAGAAAAGAAAAACTACCTCTGTTATTTTTTTGATAGCTACGCTACAGACCTAAATTAGCTAATCGAAAAAGATATTGTTGAATAAAAACAAAGAAGAAAACATATCATACTTTATTTACATAATTATTTATTTAGTTATATACAGTGAGATAAAGGGAACAATAGTGGGTACTAATGTTTGAGTCCAAAACTACGTTAGTTCTATGTTCATATTAGCAATACGATTGTCTTTTTGTTGTCATTACAGATATTTCATATACAATCAATGAGTTGTTGTATATGCCACCACCACAATAGATATGCTTGCCACTCATATATTCGGTTCCTTCCTCTTTGTTTCAGTCCATTTTGTCATAAATTGATGCATTAAATAGATTAGGAAAGTAGCTTATTTTGTTACATGTAGAATGGAAGTCGATTCCTTATAACACAACTTTTTTACTTGAGCTAGCCAAACCGATTTACAGGTGTGCATCACAAATCTTCTTTTGGTAGATTGAATAACACAATCACAATATCATGTTTAAGTTTCTGTTAAAAATACTGTTACATGTATTATCATAATTATATTTTTTTCCTGTTGTATTGATGAAGTCTGGAGTTAAGTGTTTTTGGTTTTGGTGTTTTGGGTGGCATAGGAAGAAATCGTGTCTTAATTTCTCTTTTAGAGTCGATGTTTATAACTTGACAATCCGACAAACGAGATTGTTTTGTCGTATCTTGAAAATCATTCACGGCACTACCTTCGCTTTGACCAGTTGTAGTAAGTTGGTCGTATTCCTTGTCAAGAATGTCTTCGACCACATATTTAGCATCGGCTTCTATATCCAGCTTAGAATGATATTGGTCGGATTCTGGGTAGCTATCCGATGTTTCTACTTCTGTTTGCTTCCTGACATTACCAATTTGTTTTCTTAAAGTTAAGTATCTTTCATAAATAATTTTGCTGACTCTATCACTTGGACCCTTAGGGATAAAGCAATCTTTAGTTGAGTCATTTTGCAGCCTAGAATATCGGTAATTTCTCTCGCGGGGCACATTGTTCCCCCTTATCGTATCCAAAGCTATTTCTGAGCCTACGTTTACAATTTCATTGGAATCTGATGTTTCAGCAGTCTGTTGCTGGGCTGACTTAGGCCTTGATTTCATTGACATGACTTTGCTCTTCTCTTTCTTGTCATCATCCTTGACCTTATTTATGATTAAAGACCTTTTCATGTTTTGTGGCAGCATCTTTAGAGGTTGAAGCATTCTTGGAGTAACAGAGCGATTAGTGAAGGATTTTTCTTGTTTGCAATTTTGCTTTTGACCCGGCAACAACGGTGGTAGTTTCAGAGGTTCCCAACAGGTTTTTATCTTCTTGCTTCGAAGTATTGGTGGTGATTTCAGAGGAGCAGAGGACGATTTTTCAACGTATTTCATATTTTTGTTTGGTAACAGTGGTGGTAGTTTCAATTGAGTGGACGAGGATTCATTCATGTGTTTTACTTTTTTGTTTGGTAAAAGTGGTGGAAGCTTCAGTTGAGTGGATTGAGTCGAGGATGTGTACATGTTTTTCATTTTCTTGAAAGCTAACTGTGATGGAAGTTTAACGGGAATTGGAATTTTTGTTTTTTGAGTTTGTTTCTGCAACACTTTTGTAAGCGCCTCCTGTCTGGAAATATTTTCATTTCGTTTGCTATCTTCTACAGCTTCATACATCTTACATTCAATATCAAGTTCATGGTTTTCAAAACTAAGTTCTGAATCAGACCTACAGCATGTACAGTAAGGGTCGAAACACGTGCCTGTTAAGCATTTATCTGACTCAAATTCATTTTCGTGAATCGGTGTCATTACATTTGCTCTACCCGTTCTTCCCATATATACATTGATGTTTCCGATGCTGATAGTGTTGGGCTCTATCACACGTCTGCCATGTTTTTTTGCGCGTTCATTGGAAGAAATAAGAAGTTCTTCGTTGAACATATGGTAATGATTGAGTTTAACATCAAGAATGAATCTTGGAAATGGATCTGGAATTCTTGAACGTTTGCTTTTTTCAATGGAGTAATACATATTTTGTATGGTATTCTGATAATCAAGAAGAAACTTTTTTTGTTTTCTCAAGTAATTAAGCCGGTCTTTCATTGAACATTTTAGATGGTTCATGCATTTCTTCATAACATGCCTGTCAGCCTGATAAAAATCTATGTGTTGTTCTATTTCTTGCCTTGTTCTATTTTCGGATAGTTTGCTTGGCTGCATGTTCTGTAGTTTGTTAAAGGTTGTTTCGATAGCTTGCTCATTTTCTTCAACTAAGAACTTCCAGTTGGCAAGCAACCTGAAACAATAATTTATTATTACTCAGTGTAATTATATACAGAGTTTCGCTCTAAAAGTCACTTTCATTGTTATAATAATTAAATAGATAAGTTTTTACATAAAAATGGCACTTTTCTAACCGGGTTTTCCGAAGTAAAATTCGAGTTATTAAAATGGTGAAGTACGGAGGCCTGATGAGCCGGCGACAGGAGCTGTCGGTGCCAACAGTTTCCATGCAATAACTTATGAACCATTCAACCAATGTATTTGAAATTATAATATGTTATTTTACTGCTGACAAAATGGAGGTCATGTTCGATATTGAAGATTTTATTTTTGCCGTTCAGGAGTTATTTTCCTTGATAGATTGGAAAATAGCCATAGAATGTGGCAGGTCAAACAAGTCTGGAAGCGCTAGATTACTATGTCATTTTTGTCGGTACATTTCTTTACAATAATTCATTTTTATCTATCAAGTCATTGAATATGAAATGTAACCAGTGTAAAATGTCCATTGTCAGTATTTATGTTTTTCTCGCCTTCTGTTGGTGATATTCATCAGCGTTTCTTTTTAAAGGCTATACAGAAATCACATAGCATGAAATTTATGAGACGTGGGAGCTTGCTTTAGTTTTAGATTTCATTTACTCATGTAAATATTTTTGATATTGTCTTATATTATATCCCTTTTTAATAAACTACATAAATCTTACTCTTTTCCTGTCTTCTCTACTCTCTCAAATGTATCATTATCTAGCCCAAAGTTATTGCTCCTTGGCGACACTACAAAATACACAAAGATATGTTTCAAAAAAGAATGCGGTATGATCAGTGGATCAATAAAAAATTTGTATAGAATATAAAAATAAGGAGATAAGGTATGATTGCCAATGAGACAACTTTCCACCAAAGTTCAAATAAAGTGGATGTAAGCAATTATAGGCAACCGTACGGCCTTCAACAATGAGAAAAAAACCATACCGTATAGTCGGCTATAAAAGGCTCCCGACATGAAAATTATGAAACAATTCAATTGAGATATCTAACGGCCTAATTTATAACAAAACAATTAACGCAAAACAAATATGACAGACATGAACCAACGAATACCACTGAACTACAGGCTCCTGACTTGGGACAGGCACATACAGAAAGTGGCGGGGGTTAAACATGTTTGTGAGCGCTCAACCCTCCCCCTAACCTGGTACAGTGGTGCCACAGCGCAACATAAGAACAAACTATAATAATCAGTTGAAAAAGGCTTTACTCATCAGATCGATACAAAGAAGAAAAACATCAAACATAAACACAGACCGGACGTGGCAGGGTATTTATCCAGTACAGATCTGAGAGTACTCGCAGTTACTGACAGCTAGTTCAAAGACAACTAATAAAAAAATTATGTATCTAAGACTAAAATATCACTCAGTTCACATCCAACATCCAATGGATTTAGTGTAAAGACGTCATTAACAGTCAGAGAAAAACATGACCTTGTGCAATGCCAAAATAAATGTATCGACAGACTGTAGTACCGTTAAAATGATAATCAGTTGAAAAAGCATTTAATTTTCAAATACGGTATTACAGACAACATAAATACATGTAAAAGTAAAACAACATTATACATATGAACTTTAAAAACCCTCCCTGTTACCAAAAGCAAGCTGGAAGTTCTTCACCTGCTTACGGAGAAATCATGCCATCATACACTCAAATAATATGTATTTGACAACCATTATTTGTTTAGCAAAATTGCTGATTGCAGACAACGTTGACTATTTTGAACAATGTTCGAACTTCCTTTGCAAACTAAAATATTCTGCATTTCGTTCTCCCTTTTTTTTAAAGATCTGAAGCTTTTCATTCCATTGTCTATGTTGTCAGTCTTTTTATAATTAAATATCTGTAAGTATTTATCGAAGTATGTAACTAGATCAACGCTGAACATTGAAAGTACCCTCGCTAAAGCCGTGATCATAGTCTATGTTTTGAAAACATACTTCGGCTTTGTTTTAGCGAAATATTGGGAAAATGGCAACGAGATAGGACCCCCGCCCCCGAAATATTGGCCTCCAATTCTAATGGTCTCTTCTGAAAGTTTTTTTTTCAAAAAGAAGGTATCCAACTAGCCTAACATATCGAAAAATGTACATTACGCGCTTTTTCAACTTACTTATTTCTTGTGGCTTATTGATCCAAAGTTGCACTTTAGGTGTAGTGTTTTCTATCTGATTACTACAAAAGAAAAATAGTAAGTATTTTCGAAATTGGCTGAAATACGTCAGATTATACTGCCTAAAACAGTGATTTGTTACATATAAACATGGATGTATATATCTCTTTCATGGTCGTATACATACCCTAATACTGGCTATCTCTACGGCAGTTTGTATAGGATTTGTGTTCCCTATTTCAATCATAAAAAATAATTGTTTATGCTATTGTGTACAGCAGATCTTTTGTCTATGTTTCCGTTGCCCTTACAAGACAATAGACTTGCAATTGAGTACAGCAGATTTTGACCTGTCTTATCTATTGCCTATGCAGTACCCACAGCAGGTAATAGGGTGTATGGTATATCTCAAGGTAATAACATATTGGGTGTATTTTTTAAAATGTGGGATCGAAAGATACTGTTAATTAGCATTTAAATATTAAAGCATTATATCTATATAGGAAAATTAAATCAAGTTAAATTTCGACCACGTTCTTTTCGTTGACCAACATAGAACTATATTTTACGGAATATCTATTATATTCTAATTTTGTAGGGCTGTTGTGCGGACTATCATTTATATATAATATTATTCTTAAAACAAAACTACAGCTTTAGTGTAGCCGATAATTTATTTACTTATGAGCACAGGATAAGCGAAAATTTATGTCTAACTTTCTTATTCTGGCCACATCTGAATACCGTAAACATTAACATAAAGGGCCTGTGTTGTAATAGTTGCTTTTGTTTTAATCATAACTTGCATACAATCCATTTTTATGTGATAATTGCTAAACATCTATGACTGCAGATTGTATTTAAAATATACACATAGTAATACTAATGATAATGATACAAATGTGCCTTAAATAAATCATTTCGAACATCCAATGCTGTCGTCCTTTTATAATAAACACAATTGACACTATATGATGGTATATGAAATGAATATTAACTTGAATTAAGCTAAATATGCATACCGATTCTTCTTCATTTTTTCTTCTGTAATTTCTTGTAAACATTCAATTTTGTTTGCTTCTTCTATAATAACTTCAAACAGTCATTTGTACAGATGAAACTCTGTAGTGAAGGGAGATGTCGTCACAATGACAATGTCTCCTCAATTATGACGTTCGCTTCCGCCCAGCTAATCTGTACAGCGCCCTATCATTCTACATATGCTGTAAATCTAAGATAGTGCAAGACACACGTTTGCATTAAGTTTTGTGTGTCAAGCTATTATTCGCTAGCTTTATTGTGGAAATAACGAGGTTATATCTGAGGACAACTCATCCATCAATAATTTCAATGAAAATCTAGAATTTGAACGAAAACTATGAACTGTATTCCTTCTTCCAGGATACATGTTGAAGATCTCAAATGCTATAGAGAGAGTAAGATAACTGATTCATCAGCAAATAAGTACTTTGAGTTGGATTTTATGGACTGTTAGCATTCTTTGATAGGTATAATTATAGAAACAGCTCTTTTCAAGACAATTTGATGTTATACTTTTTTTTAAATTCCCAATAGTCCCAAAACGTTGGTAACATTACAAATAGATACTAAATTAATTGATTCGATTTCTTTTGAATCTTTTTTCAATTTTCGAAGCTACATGTATCACTTTCAAAGCTCTCGGGAGAATATAGACTTGATGCTTGCAGATTCCATATTCTTATACTCTTATTTCTTTTGCTACATTTTAGCCAAATAAAAAACAGCATCACCTAACATTTGAAAGAACACCCATACTCCTCTCCAAAAAAGGACTCAGCGCATAAGTTACATCGATATATGTGTACATTATACTAAGTACTAAAATATTTAATATCAACAAAAATGATTAATTATTACCAGGATTATATCTTTCCATTATTGATTGGATCAGACCCCTTTCCTGTTCTGTTTCAATGTTTGCAAGATGTCCTCCACGAGACTGGCAATAAAGCTGGAAAATGTTATTAACATAGTATCTTATAGTTTTGTAATTAAAAATATAGAAACAATAAACAGACACACCAACACATGAAATATACGTCATTTATACTTACTTTTGCATGAAAAAACTTCAATAATAAGAATAATGAAACTAAAATTTTAATGTACTTTTAAAACTTAAATCTATTTTTTGTGGGGTTTTAATCACTAAAACAAGACTCAACACCATTTACTTTTTCTATATTTTTTTAATTGGTAGCATACATTTATAGTATCTATGCATTTCAGAGTTTGCCTACCGTTTTCATTTTAATGTCTCATTGCCTTTACATATTAAGCTGAACTTAAGTAACCCCACATAAGTGGTCACTGTCGCTTTTTTACACAGGTCCTTATAACTGTTGCCAATGAATGCTCACATAAACCAGGTGATGAAAAAAGCCGAATATTTTTATGAAAAAACATAAAGGAATTACACGTGTTTTAAATACGAGCTAGTGACCAATACTTCTTTATATTTACCATAGCGTCATCCCATGTTAACAGTTTTTGGTGCACCATATAACATTTGCTGTATCCTACAATCCATCCAACATCACAGTTATGTGCAGAGAACACAGTAACTACAAAAAAATCCAAAAAATAAAAAAATTATAACCTTAAAATGAAAAAGGAGGAGGTGTGATGTACGGCATTATTGGATAAATTCATTTCCAGTCCTTTCAAAATCATGATATTGATAAATAAACATATTTATACAACTGATATATATTAGGTTTGTGATTTTACAATGGCGTCCTTTGTAAAACAAATAATTAACACATCGGACAAGAATCAACCATTTTTCATATAGCTATTGTTCAAATTTAATACGGGACAACAGCGCACAATACAATGTTTTTTTTAAATCCACTTTATTTTGGCTTTGTTGGATAGTTGTCTCATTGGCAATCATACATCTTCTTAGTCAATTATAATTAGCATCTATTTCTTTTTAGCTCAATCTATACTCATGTTAAAAGCAGTAAGAATTCTCTATGAGACAATTAAATCAGCTAAGGAACTTTTCCTCACTTTTTTACGGCCATTAGCAAATATTTCAGAAAATGTTAGATATACTATAACTGGCCAGTGGTATCGTGATTTTTGCTTAACAGCTATTTTGAAAGTCACCAAAGTCCCTAGGAATAAACACGCTTCTATTGATAGGGGCATGGACGATTCAATTCTCCTGTACATTACTTTTTCTTCCATAGGATTGAAATAGAAAATGTGAAAACAAAAGAGTTTTGAATAATATATTCCTAACATAATACTTAGAATTTATCAATAAAATAAAAACATAATTCAACAGTATAGCTGGTTGCTGTCTCTATGACACATCTATTATCTGACCGGAATCATGATTTATATAAGTAATAAGAAGATACAGCGTAAATACAATTGATCACTACTATATTTAAAAAAAAAAAAAGGTTTGCTGTTGAAAATAATATATTTTTTGTAAATTAAAACATATACATCTGTACTTACGGAAAAATAATGACAAAAGCCAAATAGATACATGAATCGGAGTTTTCAAAATTGATTTCATTGGCATCTTTGTTCTTCTAATATGTGTTTGTGTGTGTGACAAGATAGATAAAGAGCCTTACAACAGGACTTATACGTTACATAATAACAAAATCCGCACTCTTATCTTTAAGTACATTGACCCCTTACACATTAATACTTACATCGAAGTACTTTTTGGGCTATTCGAAGTTTCAATATTAGTGACTTAATAGCCAATATTTACATGAATTCAGTGTTTGTCTGAAATATTTACAATTCTCTTCAAAACATTGTTGCACATATCTTAATACCAATTGAAAAAATCTCAAAATTTAGATAATTTACATTCAAAAGTTTAAATACTGACATCTGAAAGAATGTCGTCTTTGAAACAATATTACAGATTTACAGATTAACAGTACTTTTTTTTTATTCCAGGGATCTCAAAGTGGCCGAAGAATACCGTGTCCATTTACACTTGAAATAAGAGGTTGGTGTATTTCTAATATCTGTCGCATGTGGAGCAAGAACTGATAACCTTCCGGAGCATCAGAATTTATCCCGGTTTTGTTTATGTTCATGTTGTTCAATCTTTACATTTCTGTTTGATAGAACTTTACATAATTGTTAAAACATTGTGAATATAGCACACTGTTTGATTTTCAAAAAATCCGATATGTCATTCCAGAGTACCACAATCCCGTCCTCTTTTCAATTTCAATATTCATTTTTAGCTTACCTGGCCCTATGGGCCAAGTGAGCGTTTCTCATCACTTGGCGTCCGTCGTCGTCCGTCGTCCGTTAACTTTTACAAAAATCTTCTCCTCTGAAACTACTGAACCAAATTTCACCAAACTTGGCCACAATCATCATTGGGGTATCTAGTTTCAAAATATATGACCGATGACCCCGCTTGCCAACCAAGATGGTCGACATGGCTAAAATAGAACATAGGGATAAAATGCAACTTTTGTCTATTATTCTGAAAACTATTATAAATAGAGAAAATCTGACGGACAAAAATGTTCAGAATATTAAGCTCTACCAATTGTTATTTGACGTCAAAACTGTCAGGTGACTTCTTATTGGCGTTATTGCCCTGAAATGACTAATTTTACCATTTTTGTTCATTTTTGCCTTTTATCTTGAAAACTATAATAGATAGAGAGAAATTTTAAGTTGCAAAAATGTTCAGCAAGACAATATCTATGAATAAGGATGGTGGTCGAAATCGTCAGTCGACTCCTAATTAGAGTTATTGCTCTTTGATCATGATTTTTACCAATTTTTGCGTTTTTGCCATATATCTTAAAAATTTTAATAGATAGTTAGACACTTAAATAAGCAAAAATGATCAGCAAGACAAGATCTACATTTAAGACAATATGGAGGAAATTTTCCGACGACTACTTAATGGAGTGATTGCTCTTTAATGATGATTTCGTTATTATTTTTGCGTTTTGCCATATGATTAAAATTGTAATACATACATAGAAACTTTAATTAACAAAAAAGATCAGCAAGGCAAGATCCACAAACAAGTCAAATTTTGCCGATATAGTTAGTAGACTGTCACTCTTCATAAGAGTGATAGCCCTTAAATGAGGATTTTTTTTTAATTAAAAAGGTATATAAATGTCATCCTTAAACCAAAGAAATACATTTTTAAAGATATCTAAGGGCATAACTCTTGAACGGTAAAAGTCAAAACAGAATTTGACCTGTATGAAATAGTCCTATACATTGTCCAACTTTTTTAAGATTTGAAAAGATTTGGTCAAGCAATTGAAACTGTCAGGACTTTAAATTCGGTATCTACATACATTTTCGATTTTACTTTCAAGAGTTAAACTACAAAATAGTTAGGCATATATGATATCAAAAATACTTGTATTTATAAATAAAACTGAATTATAAAAAATGATAAAATACATAAAGCTTGAGGTCTTGATTATAAACTTAATACACGCCCTTTTTTAACAAGATTCCAGTCGAATCCATCTAACCTAGACTAGTCTAGTCTAGTCTATCCTAGTCTATTCTAGTCTAGTTTAGTCTTATATAGTCTTATATATTATACTAGTCTTATTCTTTCTATTATATTCTATTCTATTATATTTTTTTCTATTCTAGTCTATTACTAGTTTAATCTAGTCTAGTCTAGTCATTCTAGTCTAGGGTGAAGGTTGGCGCCTTTTAAAACGTTTAAACCCGCTGCATTTTTATGCACCTGTCCTAAGTCAGGAGCCTGTTGTTCAGTGATTGACGTTTGTTGGTGTGGTTCATAGGTGTTTCTCGTTTTTCGTTTTTTAAATAAATTAGACCGTTGGTTTTCCTGTTTGAATTGTTTTACGCTAGTCATTTTGGGGCCCTTTATAGCTTGCTGTTCGGTGTGAGCCAAGGCTCCGTGTTGAAGGCCGTACTTTGACCTCTGATTGTTAACTTTTTATACATTGTGACTTGGATGGAGAGTTGTCATATTGGCACTCATACCACATCTTCTTATTTATATAGTCTTTTCTATTTATATCTATTATAGTCTAGTCTAGTCTAGTCTACAAAGTTGCTTGTTTTTCTCACGAAACAGATTTTGGGATAGATATAAAAAGAATTAGGCAGTATTTTTGGCCAGGAAACCCATAACAACCTTTTATAAAAGGCACTGGCTACGATCACCCGCAAAAAGTAACAATAAGAAATAATTATTGTTACTGCCGATACATATTTGAACAATTGTATAGGAAATTATTTATTGAACTTAGCAATGGTAAATTGAAAGCACATTTATACATATTTAGATTCTTTCAGATATTTAGTTTGGTGGCACTTCCTGCACATTCATTATGTAACCTATGGGAGTATTTTGAGGCCAAAACATTTAAGATGGTACCATTTCAGACACTTGTCGCAAATTTTAGATCCATTTATACAGAGACATATATGTACGTCTATACCGCATACTAAACTGTTCCACTCTGCTATATCCTTCTTCGGCGATATCTTGTTTTTTGCAAGAACTTCTTTTATATAACTGCACAAAACGTACATCTTGGAACCGTTGGAGTTTATCGTTAAAATCTTGAAAGGATTAAAACTATTCAATGACCACAAATTAGACACCTTGCTCATTCGTATCTATACTTAACAATAGCGATTTATTTTAATCGACCTCCTATGCAAAAAGAGAACGTCATATTGGTTAATAAAACTGGAAGTTTGAACTTGTAATTGTTGAAATTTAATTCAGATTGTTCTCAAATCAAATATTTTTTTTATCATTGCCTGCCTGAATATAATTTGCGGGTAGCAATAACTGCAGGTAACAATAAAAAATGATATTATTGTTACCTGTAGTTTCCGTATGAGATCGGGTCCATGTCTGGACATGCTTTCGGCAATTAATCACGGAAGTAACAATAACTATTTCTTATTGTGACTTTTTGCCTTTTATAACCATAGGAAGGGCTGTTTGTGATAAAGAGTAACTCATTTGTAGTAAACAAGTGCACGCAATCGATTTCAAGATTAAAATATCAAGATAAAAAATAAGCTGTCTCATGTATTACTCAATAACATACATGCACGTCGAGCGAGTTGGTGTACATTCACTCTTTTTCTTTGCTCATTCGGTACACACAATTGTACGGAATTAAGCGTCAAACATACTTTTTTATATTTCTTTTTATGTTTGCGAGATAATACAAACCTTTGCGAGATAGCGAGATAGCCTAAACTTTTGTTTTACGGCAATATATAAGATGATATGTGTACATGTACATGTTTTTCGAAATTTGGACGTTTAGGGTTCAACAAGCTCTAAATGAATACTTCATTAATGAAAATCAAAAATACTCCCAAATAGGTATTATTAACCTGATGTTGACAAAAATGAAGGAATAAACCATAAAAATAAGAAGATACTTTCCACAAGAGACCAAATGGCGTTGACGTAAGCCACCATGGCTAGATTGTTGTTTAAATACAGAGCAAACGACCACATGTATAGCAATCTATACAAGGCCAACAATGACAAGTGTCCTACAATTCAAAACGAATTTGATAAACAGACAAACGACAACTATATTGAATTGCAGGATCCTGACTTTGGACAGGCATATATAATATTTGCTCGGGGTTAAACATGTTTTCTGGCACCTAACCCCTCCCCATTACCTTGAACATTGGTGTAACGCTTCACAAATTTTGTTTAAAACTTTTGGGCCTGGGTGGCAGATTGATCGAAGTAGTTCAACTATAGTAATCAATAAAGATTCAATATTGAGGTTGTAAGTTCATGCTGATGTGTTCGACTGTAATTCTAATTTACAAGGGTTGCAAGTTTTGCTGCAGGAGGTCGATGGTTCTATCACTATATCACATATGCACATTTTGAAATCGGACATAAAGCAAAATCATCGGAAAAAAAGCAAAACGGACCGAAAGCAACGGACAAAAAGCAAAAGTGTAAGACGAAAAACAAAATAATCGGACAAAAAGCAATATGGACCGAAAGCAACAGACAAAAAGTAAAAGTATTGGACGAGAAGCAAAATTATTGGACAAAAAGCAAAACGGACCGAAAGCAACGGACAAAAAGCAAAACGGACCGAAAGCAATGGACAAAAAGCAAAGTTATCGGACAAAAGGCAACACCGGACAAAAAGCACCGTATCAAACGTATTTCTTACTATTTGTACTGAATTAACTATTATATTCATAAGCACTTAATTCAATGGTACAAAAACAAAATCCGGAAATTCTTGTATTTATTTACGTCATGACCCAAACTAAAACTGCCTTACAAGTAAACTACGTACTATAGTTTATGATTTATAATGTTTTGATTACATCACAAACACCAGTCCTTAGATATCTCGTTACTGGTGATTAATCGGCATCAAGGAGGGTCATTTTTCAGGTGGTTTTAATAAAACAACACTTTCTTCAACTATATATATATATAAAAAAACCATTTAAGATATAAGACATGAAAAGGTACACTTTGGGAAAAATTAGCCCTTTTAAACAAATGTGATTCAATAATGGATTTATCACTGGA